ACACAAGGTCCTCGCCCTCGAGGCTCCTGTGGTCTGTGGAGAGTACAGCCCAGCCAACAACTGTAGCACAGCATGGTAAGTGCTGCGACACGAGTATTCACGAAGTACCATGGAAGTTTTGTGCAAGGCACCCAACCCAGCCTCAGAGTTAGGATTCTCAAAAATGGTGACCTCTGAGTTGCATCTTGACGTGCAACATGGAGGGGGACAGAAGGAGTTGTTCCAAGGAAGGAAGGAAGGAAGGAACCTGTGCAAAGGCCCAGGGGCTGTGATCCTCAGGCATGTGCTGGGGTTGCCTCCTTCTCCAGGCTGTCAGGGCCTGAGGAAGTCAGCCTGGCTTATCACCATGGGCACTTGGCTTTGCAAGCCTTTATCCCTCACATCCACTGCAGGCAAACCACACCTGCTGTTCTTCTCTTTTTTCTTAAGCCCAGGAAGGAACAAGGATGAGTCAGTAAATGATGTGTCCAGGGGCTTCCCTCACAGAGCTGCCATGTTTGGCTTGGCTGAAAATTGAAAGGCCTTGGTTTCTCAGTTGTCTGATTGTCTTTGTTCTCAAGGCGTAGTGCAGCATTGCGGTGGGACGGCTAACCTGAAAAAAAAAAAGTCTATTTCTTTCTCATCCTGCAAAGAAACGTTTGCGGGAACATGAAGTGGCTAATCCAAAGAATAATCAAATGCTTTGAAAGTCTTCACAAATCTTACGCAATGCAATTCGGTGTTTTTAAAAATTGAGGAATTGCTTTTTGCAAGAAAGTGTTGTAAGTTATGAGAGAGTCTTTTCCTACAAAAAAAAAAAAATCCAGACAATAATTGGATCACTACAGTACCCCACAGGCTGGCTTTCACACCATCCATCATTAAAGGGTCAGTGTCTTATGCTGTATCAGGGCACAGTATGAGTAAGGGTGCCTGGTAGTTTATCACAGACCGAATGCAGCAGAGGCGGTGGGAGAAACTGAAATAAAAGTGAAAGCCTTAGAGCTGCCCTTTTACAAATCAGCTAACAATTAGGAAGGGAGTGACTGGCTGGGGCGCAGGAAAACAACTACAGAGGTTCATTTTATCTGTGAAATTAAAACTATTTTAGTAAATAAAGCTGATGCCGTTTAAACATGAACCCCCCTGACATTCCCCGGCTTACTGCAGCTTTTCCGCTTGTCGCCTCATTAGATCTGTTCAAAATACAAACATGGCATTTCCCCATTGCCAGAGGAGCAAATGGGGGCCGACTGGCTGATGGTAGCTGCTGTGGTTTTCCTATAAGCCTTATGAGTGTTGTGGCAAATAAGATCCCTGTAAGGTACAATTTCTAACTGTGCCGTGTTTGTGGGGCAGGCCCTCCTCCAGGTTTTGATATTTGGTCGCTTGACTTGATCTTACCACCTTTTCCTCCAGGCTGCAAACAAAGCTCACCTGTAGTGTGCCTAGAGGTTTTTTTTTGTGCTCTATGCTAGAAAAGGGAGAATATTCTCCTAAGTCGGGAAACTATGTTTATGTGTGTGAATTGCTCTACTTGAATGTGCTGCAGCATTTTGTATTGATGCATATATATGACAGCCAGGCTGACTACAATGGCTTCTGAAGCATTTCATGCCTTTTAAATGAACTCGGTATCCCTGGAATGTGCTGTTTTAGTGTTTCTGCATTTTCTACATGCCATTTTTACAAGCCCGTTTGTTTATGCTGTAATGTGGTGAAGAATCACATTGTTTTTTGTTTTGTTTTGTTTTTGAAGAAAATAAATGTACATATTACTAAGAAGATGAATATATTATTGAAAAATATACTTTATGGATCACGCAGCCCACTGTTAAAGAGGAATTTATTTTGTTTGTTTAATAAAGTGATTGTTCAAATGCCAAGCATTTATAGTGTCCTTCTAAATATGGATGCCATAACATTTAAGTGTTGCTCAATATTGATGTATGTTCTCTAATAAAATATTTTAAACCTCTTCCTTTAAACACATAATGCCCTAGTTCTTTAATCATAATGTTTTGTTAGTATGTCTGTTGAGAAGTGGGCTGGGCAGCTCAGAGAGGGGAGTTTATGTCTCTGGCCAGCTGAATAAGGTAGGCTGTACATAAGATATGCTGGCTGGCAACATTCGGGGCTCAGGTAAGAGCACAAATACGACTGCATGGTCAGGTTTAGAGTCAGGGGAAGATGATACTGGACATCAGATACACAAAAATGTTGAATGTGTTCAAGGCTGGATATATTAGTGACCCAAAGCCAAGGCAGTAGGTTTCGGGGGCTAGTGGTCAGTGAAGGTCATGGTCAACACAGTTCAAGGGAGAGTTCTTCAATGGAGATTGTTGTCTGACCATGGTCTCGGAACCTGGAAGCCCCAGCACTGCCCTTTTAGCCGCATTCCCTCAGTGGAACCCCTCAGCAGCATGGTGTCATCACTGGGGACAAGACTTCTCGAGTCAAATTGTCACAGGCTCCAAAGTCCCTCAACCATTCACCCGCTACATTATCTCAAGCCAGTTATTCAACATCTCTAAAAATCTTACTACCCTCTTCTCAAAAATGGGGTCAATTTTTGTACATCACTCAGAGGTCTGTTGGGATAACAAAATAAACCTATGCATGTAAAATGCTTAGAAAAATGCTGACATCTCGTTAGCACTCAGGTTGTTTGTTTTCTTGTTGATCTTGCTTGGGTTTGCTGTGGCTTTCATTTTGACGAGCCACAAAGATGAGCACTCCCATCCTGGTGATCAGGGATCACTATTTTTAATTAAAGCCCTTATCATCTAAGTCAAATGATAGCACCACATCTAGACTGATGTAGGTTTGGCCAGAGGGTGTCATGTCCCGTGGATGCTCTGCTGGTCATGATCCAGGCTTGGTTGGCATGATCGCGGCCTCACTCCCTGGATCCCCACAGAGGGTGGGGAGTGGGGGGGCAGATGGAGGGTGGGAGGGCATCCTAAGGCACACAAAAGTTTGCAATTATTCCGGCATGGTTTTCATGAAGCTTGGAGGTGGCATAAGTAGTTTACAGACTAACTGGTTTACCCTGATGACTTCTCTTTTTAACTCATTTCTTTTTTTCACTTTGGGATATAGACTCTGGAAGTAAGAGAAAGTGGAGATATTGTCAGTGTTGTTGCCCATCGATTCCTATGAAGGTAGAGAAATCATGGAAAATAGATGGCTATAATGACATTAGGGCCACATCTCTGCCGTGCATTTTTCCATGGCTAACATTTACTATGGGAAACCCTGTTCTAACTTGTTCAAATACATCATCTCGTTTAATCCTCACAATCCAATAAGAAAGTGCAAGGAATCAATTAGGGTGCAATTGGCTGGAAGTAACAGAATACCCAATAAAAGCGGCTCACACAAGAAGGAAATTTATAATACTATTATCAATAATTTGACATGAAAGCATTCATCTTTGCCAAAATGTTCTGGAATCAAATGACCTGGGTTTAAATCCTATCCAGTGATGTGTCAGTTAAATGTACAGCAACCAGCTCTCCAGGAAAAAAAAAATTAAACAAACAAGAAACACAGAATTTGCAGCATTTGTCAATCCCTGTGGTGTAAATCCTCTGACAGTGACCCATATCAAGTTGCCAACATGATGTCACTGAACATGGTGCTGGAGAGAGATACACACATTCGAGTCTCTATGAGTCAACTTCATTCAGCACATCTCCCCTGCCCCTTAGTAGCATGTGGCCTAAACCTATCTGTGTTTTCATTTCCTCATCTGTAAAATGGCATAATAATAGTACCTTCCTCGTTGGATTAATAAGAATTCCCATGCTTCGTTCACAGTCTGCATTCAAAGGATGTTAGCTATTATTGTAGTTATTGTTATTGTTAATATAAGCTCAAAGCAGAAACTATCTCAGAATAGCAAACGTGTTCTTCCTGACTCAACTCCTAGTGCAACAACTCTTCTGAAATGGGTAGCAGTGTTGCAATCCTTTTTTCAGACATTATATACCACTCGCTCCTCACCCTCACCCGCATTGAATTCATTAGTCTCTGTTTTCAGACTCCTAAGTTTTTCAGTGAGAATTCTGTCTCTTTGCATTTTTATTTTAACCAAAGCATTTAATGATCCTATGAACCAGTTTTCTCAAAGAGCCTTTTAACGCCAAATCATTCTGCCAGCCAATTGTTATTATCTCTCCTGTTTATAAATGCAAATTGCCTCCAAAAGAGTTTATGTAAAATAATTATTCTGCTGTGTAGGTGGACAGAAAAACCACTATCCCCGTGCTCACGCCTCACTTTGTTATTATGTTCTGAGCCATACACTCCTTTCAAAGATAATATATGCACGTATTAAACTAACTAAATGAGAGTGCTGCAGCATCATGGGATTGGGGTAAGCTTTGGGGTTCTTAGTGCCAGCTACCAAACCCACCCTGCAGGTCTCTGTCTCAGGAACTAGAAAGACAAGAGCCAATGGGAAACAAAGCACAAGATTTCTTA